GGAAACGCGTTACGCGGTCCGTTTCCTTCAATATTTTACTCCATGGGCGAGATTCCATTAAATCACATTGTATTAATAGATCTGTATCGGTTAATATTGCAGGATTTGACATTGAATTACGTAAACGAACAACAAAAAATGACTAGAAATATTTTTAAAAAGAAAAATTGTTTTTGTTTTTCGTCCGACAGATCAAATATATTGTTATAAAATAAGTATATCACACCAGTTTTCCTATAGAATATAATTTGCTAGTGTCTACTTCTAACACAAGTTTTCAAACTGTATTAGAAGATTAATAAAACAGTGCGAGACTATAAACTTTCTAGACTCTGAAGGGACTGCTAAAACTAAAGTATCAAGAACATTGGGAAAAAAAAACGTTTTTATAGTGCTCCCTCTTATATTAATTCTTACTTCTTTATGTTTTTCCATCCTTGCATGAATTTTTGAAATAAGATCACTTCCGTTTGTCATATTTTTTCGAGTTATTCGACGTTGACTTGTTGTTTTTTTTGAATTTTTTTATTTTACATCAGTACTTATGGTATCAAGATACCGAGATATAATTGAAACAAATCAAACAAATTTTTCTAGACAACCATCAATTATAAGTACAACACCTAGTATTCGACATGGTATGAATATATTACTTAGGGCTAGCCAAAAGTTCGTAGAACGGTTTTAAAAAACCTTGTCGGATAAAGTAACCTATTTAGAAATGAAAAACCAAATATACCATGTTGTAGAGTTTTTTGAGGCGCATCGAATGGTATATAATAAATCTTGTTTTCATAAGACTTTGAAGGAACTAGAGTCAATTTACTGATAGATGACTACTCATCCATACTCACACCTTCACCTAAGTATGATAGGTTACTGAATATTGTTGTCCTTGGGATTAGCCGAAAGTATTTGTAAAATATTTTTTCTCACATCCGATTTTTCAGAGTTTTTGACGGGCTACAACCTCATATATGTAGCATCTCCGGTCATTTTGTCCGTGTGGGTGCGTAGTCGTCTATCAGTAAATTGACTCTAGTTTCTTCAAAGTCTTATGAAAACAGGATTTATTATATATCATTCGACGCGCCTCCAAAAAGCTCTACAACTTGGTATATTTGGTTTTTCATTTCTAAATAGGTTACCTTATCCGATAAGGTTCTTTAAAACCGCTCTACGAACTTTTGGTTTGCCCTAAGTAGATTGTTATTTCTTTGTTAGAAACTTTGTTTTTGTTTTATTAGGTTCGACTAGTGAGATAAATGTAGATACAGTTAGTATAAATGATTCAACATCGATAACAAATAATCAAGTATGAATTTTGTTAAATTAATTTTTTTTGGGGGGGGGGGGAGTTTAAAAAATTCTGTATTTTGTAGTAGAATAATGATGAATCAACAGTTATTGATGATAATAATGAAGTTAATAAAATAAATTTACAATCGACTAATAAAAATTCAATCGATATAAATAATACAAGTGTTACAGCTACTCAATACGGTATATATGATGTAGAGAAGTAACCATAACATTTTTTTTATAGCAAGTATTGCTAGTGTTCCTACTAGTGATTCAACAACAATAGATAAAAATCAATTAACTGAATCAAAACTTCCCGATTATCCAAAAGCAAATTTTAATTCAAATGAATCATCAATGAATATAACAGAAAAATTAAAACGAGCATTATCGAATATAGCACCATTATTACGTGATATATTTATAGAATTTTCACATATACTTATAAAAACATTAGTTGGTTCATATGGACAAGAATTATTACCTAATGGTTTACATGCACTTAAACCAACAGCATCAGTTGTTGAACTTGTTATGCATTTATGTTCACAAAAATGACAAAATTCTCTTCAAGTAATATTTAAATATATTTTTTTTCTAAGAATTTATCTTGAAAACTATTTTAATTAGAATATTAAATAATATTCTATAGACAAAAAATTTTATTAAAATTAAAATTAAAAAAAGAAAAATTCTTTCATTTCTTTTTTTTGTTTTGATTTTAGAAACATGCTGGTTTAGCTTTTATTGAATTAGTTAATGAAGGATGTTTATTATCTCATGCAAGTAAAGATCATGTTGTTAAAGTAGCTAATGAAGCTGATTTTATACTTAATCGTATGCGTGCTGATGATGTACGTAAAGCAAGTGAATTTGAACAATTATCAGCACAAACAACTGTTGAACGTAAATCAGAAGAACAATTATGTGAACATTTTATAACAGCAGCAAGACAACGACATCAAGTTATAGCATTA